GAAGGACTGCTGAAATTTGGCGATGAAATAGGCGACTGGAGGCTTGAAGAGAAGCACACTATAACATTCCCGACACAACCATATAAGTATAAGTTTAATGAATTACCTGAAATACCGAAGATTAAGAATATTAATATTTCTATTGAAGATGAATGGAAGACTGAAAGCATTTGTAAAAAAGTTATTAAACAAAACCCATGTCTAATCCGTGCTCGTTTCGCAGGTAGTGGCAAGAGTTATATAGGCGAATATTTCCAAAAAATGAATTATAATGTTTTGTTCGTTGTTCCAACCAATAGACTTTTACAAGAGAAAGAAGTAGAGGCGACAACATACAACAAGTTTTTTAGTATTGCGGTTCATGAAGATGCCGGAGAGAGATTGCCACAATTTGATTACTCGCCTTATGATATAATTGTATTTGACGAAATATATATGGCAAATTTATATGTGTTGAATAAAGTATGGTTATTTATTCAAAATAATCCGGATAAAATCGTAGTTGCTACTGGTGATGTTAAACAATTACAAGGAGTAGAAGTAATGACCAACTGCCAAGACCCAGCGACATACATGGATAATTGTTTGGATACAATCTTTAAATACAACATCTTCTTAACAATATGTAAAAGAGTAGGGGCAAAAGACAGCATTGAAGGAGACAGGAACAGAAAGATAATAAATAATATGTATGAAGACTTTTGGGAAAATAAACTACCGTTAAATGACATCATACCAAAATATTTTGAAACAACTGATGATATAATGGCATCAGAGCATAACATCGCGTATACCAATATTAGATGCCGAAATGTAGCAAGTGAAATCAGAGAAAGATTAAACATAAGTGCCAAGTATGTAGTAGGCGATATTTTAATTGCCAGAAAATGGATTAAACAACCCAGAGTTAATATAAATTTGAGATACAGGATTACACATATACAAGATGATGAATTAGGAAAACAAATAACATTACAAAATATAGCAAGAGAGGAAGATGAGTTTATGTTGTTTGAACCCATTGTAGATGCTAATTTTATTTATTCGTATTGTGCTACTACTCACTCATCACAGGGAGCAAGTGTAAGAGAGAGCATGACAATTCATGAGCATAATTTACCATTTGTAAGTAGAGAGTGGCTGTGGTGTGCAATTACTCGCTGTGTTGATTTTAAAAAGGTTAAATTTTATTGTAATCCAGACTTTGATAAACAAATGGATAAAAATATGATAATGAGATATTTTAAAAACAAAGTAGAAAACTACAAGATACAGGACCGTCGTGCCCAAAGAGAAATCAATGACGAAGAATACATAACTGCCGAATGGTGCTTACAACAGTTTCGTGCCAGATGCCAAAAGTGTAATACTCCATTCAATTTTGAAACTAAACAAGGTAAATTGTGTAGTAATTTTACTTGTCAGCGTCTTGATAATTCAATTGCTCACCATATAGATAATTCAACTTCGTTTTGTGTATATTGTAATGTTTCAGCACATTAATATTTTAAGATTTATATTTTAAAATCTTAGTTTTAGACAAAAAAGGGTTTAAAGACATAAGACCTATATATAGTAGAGAGTCATGAACGAACAAGAAGTGAATGATTATATTAATAAGAAATGCTATGACTGTTGCCATTTCAAAAACGAGAATATGGAATTATACAAATTATTTTTACCTAATGGAATAGTAAATAATATTATTGATTATGCTTTGGACGAAGAAAAATGTAAAATTTGTAAAAATTGGAGGTTTTATCAAGAATTAATCAAATGTCATTTGAACCATAAAAGTCTTCTTAAAACAAATGTTGAAGACGACATTATAATATTTCTAACTGTGTATGAAAGACCACCTTTTGATTATGTTAGAGCATTTCTTAAAATCAGTAAGACAAAATATGAAATGATTACATACATATTATGGATGTTGATTTATCATAGAAAGACAGGCTTTGATTTAAAAGAAGACATTAAATCATATATTGAAAGTAAAAAGTTTAATGTTAAAAATACCGTAAGAGATGTTAATATTATTATTAAAATGATGTTTGAAAGGGGTAAGATGTATCAACAGTTTAATAGTCATCAATTAAATTATTATCCTGAACTTAAATTATAAATAATATTATCAATATAATAAATCTTAATTTATTATATGGATAAACAAAAAGTTATTAGTGATATTTACTATGACAAAAGCGGATACGGTAGTAAAGACAGAAAGATAAAACTATTACTATGAGTGATGTAAATGAATTCTTTAAAAATAATATTGAAGAGAAAAGAAAACCAAGAGGGCAGAATAGTTTTGTTGCTCCTCATGCTTTTTGGGAATTTCAATTAGATTTGTTTTTTATTTCTAAAAATGATTTGGAAAATCAAAAGTTTAGAATTGGATTAATATTAATTGATATATTTAGTAAATATGCTACTGTAATACCTATTGCAAGTAAGCAACCGCCAGATGTATTAGCAGGAATAATGGAGGGTATTAAGAAAATGGATGGAAAACCCAAAATGATATACAGCGACGAAGAAGGTAGTTTGTTTAGTTCTGTTATTACTGATTATCTTGATGAGGAAAAAATTAAATTGCACACCACGAGAGGCCACCCTGCTTTTGGTGAAAGATTCATTAGAACCTTTAAGGATATGCTTTTTAAAAGAGTTGATGCGGATGAAAAGAAAGGTAAAAACAATATACAATGGATAGATTATATTTTAGAAATATTATTGACATATAATAATAAATTAGTAAGTTCCGTTGCGAAAATGACACCGATAGAAGCAAGGAAAAAGAAAAATGAGTTTGAGGTTAAACTGAATATATCAATGAATGCCAGAAAAACCCGTTTGTATCCTGATTTAGATGTAGGAGACAAAGTTAAGATTATGAGAAAGAAGGCGATTAGTGAAAAAGAACGGACCAGCCATTATTTGAAGACTATTCACACCATAACTAAAATAGAAGCTAAGTTAGGGCAGAAATATTATCATGTTAGTGATTTTCCTAAACCTTTATTACGACACGAAATGTTAAAATTATAGGTTTTAGACTAAAAAGGGTTTAAAGAAATAATACCTATATATATTAGCGAGTTATGTTTAAGATTGAGTTTAACAGTGTTGAAGAAAGAAATAAGGTTGGTCAATGCCAATATTGTAGGCGTATCAGAAATAACAGAATGGGTGGGTTTAATTCAACAAACCTACCGGAAAACATTGTTAATATAATACTTGAATATTCTTTTTATTGTGTTAGATGTTCAAAGGCAGTAAAGTATATAGACAGAGTGGATGAAGTGATAGAAAACAAACCCGAATACACAAATTTTCAACGGGCAACTGCTTATGACATACAGGTGTATTGCTTCACACAGTTTAACCCATTTCCTGAATATAAGACTGTTTTAAATGATGTATTGACATTTTTTAGTGTATCAGGCTATAGAACAAATCTCATAATCATGTATTCAAAGGAAGTTCATGAAATATTCAAAGACTTGTATGATAGTTTGTTTGATGGTTATATCACTGAATGTGCTAAACATCATTTGTTGGAAAACCGTGTAGATACTGCTTATGGGACAATGCTAAAATACACAGATATGTTTAGAATGATTTTGACATATTTGAAAGGTAAAAATGCTAATAACAAATATTTCAACCAGTTTTATAATGGAGACCTTGACCATGAAATCGGTAGAACAGTTGCCCAAATATGGTTGAGATAAACAGGGGGTTATATAATATATAATATTATATATTATATATACCAACGTGAAAAACATTACAGTTTAAACCACCCCAGATTAAAGTCGCGAAGCCTCGCGAACCGCTGTGAGCGTCTATTGTATGGTTTGTTGTTTGGTTTTTTGTTTGGTTTGTTGTTTGGTGGTTTTTTTCGGGACAGGTGGCTTACCCAGACCTCGTTATGGATTATGTCGTGAAACCTCACGAACTCGGCAGAGCTTCGTGCCTAAAACTGTTTAAAGGGTAGACTGCTTATTGTTGTAAGAGATTATGGAAGGGAAATACTGTTCAGGGTGTGGATGTTATAAGAATAGAAATTCATTTACAGATAACTGTAAAACTTGCGATAGATGCCGGGAAAAGCAAAAAAAGAAAGACCAAAGAAGAAGACTGATAAAAGCGATGGATAAGCAACAGAAGGAAATAGAAGAAGGAGAAAAACAATATTGTAAGATGAATAGGAAGATAGAATTATTTTCAGAAAATCATAAAACTTGCGATGCGTGTAGAGAAAAAATGAAAATATATTCGCAAACATGGAGAGATAATCATAAGGAAGAGATACGAGAGATAAACAAAGAACACGGCATGAAAATATGTTTGTGTTCTGTTTGTGATTGCGAGGTTAGATTGAAACATAAGGCGAGGCATGAAAAAACAAAGAAGCATATTGATAATTTAAAAAAGAATGAGGTTGAGGATAATTGAAATGGTTTAAGTTATTCTTGAAAAATGAATAACTTGAAACATTTGGTGAGTGGATTGATTTTTGGAAACATGTTTAAGCGTTTATGTGGATTTTGGGCGGTGTGTTGATAAATGCTGTTGGGCGGGTTTGGAAATTAGGGGTAGAAAGCTTGCGGTAAGCCCACTCTTGCTGTTACACCCCTTTGGTTCTTTGTTTAGAGAAGCTTGGATTCCGGCCGGGACTTCAGTTCGATCCTACCGGAAGGATTTGACCGTGCAGTTTCATGTTGCCAAGTCCCTTAAATGGTACGCCGTAGTGGAAATGTTTGGACATGTCATAAAAGAATGGGTGAGATGAGGACACTGACTTGATACGTAGTCTGCTTCCTTCCGTGTTGGGAGCTTGAAGTGGTGTCACCTCTGTGTTTGCGTGTCTGCTTTCTTGAGGTATCCATTTTATCCTTTATTGGCTGGTTTAAACGGAAGTCAAGAGGACCAAAGTCCACGAGATGTGTGGCGCGAAGTGATGGGGTTGGCAAGCACGCGCCTGTCAGATCCTGGACGGCTTGCTGAACAGGAGCCGGATGCGGGAGCCGAGAGCGGCACACGTTTGGGACCTTTCCTTGGGGCGGAGCTGACTGACCCCCTTGCCCCTCCCTTGTGGTGTGTCTGGATTTCTGCAACCAAGCAAGTCTGGCCAAGCTCTCTCTGGTTGACTTTGCGAGTTTGTGTCGGTATGTATGTGTTTGCATGTGTGTCTCTGTGTGTGGTGTGTGTGTGTGTGTAAGAGGATTCACAATAGCCTTGCAGAATGCCCATCCCAACCATGTAAAACAGGTTGGTTGGGAGTGGGGCAACAGCGTTGGTTGGTTCCGTGCGCGTTGTGAGCTCGCTCAGAACTGGTCAACCATGTCAAACTCCTGGGTTCAACCTTCACAGGGCGTAGATCAAGGCTGATGGCTGAAGCAAGGAGTAGCTCTGGCAGAGCTTTACTCTCTTCATAGTTCATGTGTGTTTGGGTGTTTTTCGCCCTTTTCCTGTTTGTGGATGCGAAGAACCAGCGGGTGTTTCATCCATCACACCTGGGAAGATGACCTCGGCTGAGCTGTGCTTGCGGCCATGCGCTCGGTGCGCTCGGCGCGCTCGGCGAGGATCTTCTTCCAGTACCTTCACCTCAGCCCCAAAGACCGGCGGATCATCGTGTGCGAGTCCGTGTATTCATCCACTCAGTTCAGGAGAGACTTCAAAACCACACCTTGAACAAAGGAAAGGACCGGCCCAAAGAAAAGACCTGGGAAAGTTGACCATGGTCAAAAACTGGTACAAGGTGGTTGTCCCTTCCTTCCAAAGCTGCAAAACAGTGACCACTGTCTTGGGCTCTTTCCTTCTGGGACCAACTTGATACCCCAAGGATCTGGTCCAAAAGGAGGAACCCTGTGAGCGCAAGCGCGCCGGGGCGATAGGCCTGTAACTTCTCAAAACGTGACCCTTCACGAGAAAAAGAAGAAGAAGCAACAACGATGAGGTTCCTAGCTTGAGGTTCCTAGTTTTATTTTGAGGTTCATCCATTCCAGGACTTTTTGGGAGCGTAGATATCTTTCATTCGCCCATTTGGAAGCAGAAATCTCCGCCTTCATGTCCCTTTTGATTTCCTCAACAGTGCACCCTCACAAAACCGGAAACCCAGTTGTGTTGAAACATCCATGCGCATAGTACAATTGCGAGAAGCTCCCAAACCAGCACCAAACCTATGTCTTGGGTGAAGTTTAATCTGGAGCCTCCTCAGAAGTGGCTGGTGGTCTCAGCAAATTGTGATGTCCGCCATTTCGGGTCCGGGACCCATTCAGATTCATACCATGTCACTGGATCTGAACCTGATCAGGAAAGCGCTGGCTTTTGTACTCTTCAAGCTCTTCTCGGCCCCATCGGTGTGCTTCGTGCTGGAGCTGGTCTTACCGCTCTACCTGCCCCCTGGCGGGTGCAGTCCAAATCGCCCGAAACAATTTTTCGAAAAAGGGCCATGTCGGTAGCTGTTTCGGTTCATGCCTGGCTTACTTGCAGCTATTCAAAGAATGACAGTCAACATAAACCTAATGTAGTGCCAAAGGGCCGTTTGGCCAGGTGAGGGGTCAAGGGAAACCAAGCCTGCGGGTTCGCTCAACCCAAGCAATCCCTTTGGCTGGAGGACTCTTTTTCCCAGTCCTGGGGGCTTGGATCGCAGGCTGTTTGGGACACGTGTTTCTTGTGGGGGTGTAAACCAAAAGAAGCCCAAGTATTGGACCATTCCAATCGTGCTGTTCCACTGGAAAAATAGCAGTCTTCCAGGGTTGATTCTGAGGGGCCGGGGTTGATGCCGCATGGCTACTCTGGAGTGATTGTACATTCCAGGGGGTGATTCTGGGACTCTATATGAAGAGTGGCCTCTGAGCTTAAAGGGAAACAAGACAGGTCGATTACTTGTTTGTTTGCCAAAACCGAACGAAGCCAACCAGTTTCTCATTTGCCATTCAACCTCAAGAAGGAAAACCCAACCAGATGGAGTTGAGCCCATTAGGATGGCAGGTGCCCCAAGCTTCCATCGAGTGGGATACACCAATCCTCCCATAAATGTTGGTTTCGCTCTTTCAACCATCGTTCTGGTGAAAAGCCGGCTGTTTCCGCCAGGTGTCCGGATTCCTCACCTCGCCCCAACATCCAACATCCGGGCGCCCTGACGCCCTAGGCGCAGTTCCTCAACCCTTCCCTAGGGATGCAGGCCCTCGAAATGGGTGGCGGTTTCCTGCCCAAAAGCTCAACTCCAAGCGCCACCCCCATGGATATCAGCCTTGGGGCCGCTCATGCCTGCGAGTCCTTCCAAGGCTCAAGAAGACCTCCAGTCTTGCTCAACTTTGGAGAGGGGTCCCCCCTTCGGAGTGATTCAATGGAAACCAGTCAATTGCAACCTTTGAAGGAGAAATCCAGTCACCCTGGGCCTCAAGAGTTGGTTTGTTTCTTCACGCCAGAGCTCCTGGGCCTTCAGAATCTTCAGTGTAGTAAAGCCCTTGGCCTCTTTTGAGCGGCGCTTACGTCTCAGGACGGGTCTCCACTCGGGCTTGGTGGCAGCTTGGCACTGCACTGGCGCCCGAAACCGTTACCCCGAGGATCGTTCGATCCGATTGCTTGAAGCTTTGCTTGATAAGTGGCAGAGGGTCCAACTTGGTACCTTCTGAGGAGGTACTGAACCACCCCCTTTTACCCCCCACAAGCCATTCTCATGAGGTACTTGGACCCTGTGGGGTGGTCTCAAGCGGGAAGCCTTCCCGGTTGACATTGGATTTAGAAAATTCGGAGCCAGCCAATTGGCCGGCTATGGTGCGGCGATCCGCTCTCCGGTTCGGAGTTAATGCTTGCTTTTAGTTGTGATTCAACTTCGCATGGGATGGGAATGTGGGGGGAGAGGGGGGGTGTCGCTTTTTGGAAACACTCCCTTCTCTTGAGTCTTAAGGTGAGTTTTTCACCAATCCTTGTTTTGGCAACCGACCGCAATTGTCCTGGGCAAAGCGGCGCTAAACAAAACATAGCATAGCCTGACGTTTCCGAACGGAAGCCAAAACAAGATGAGTATTATGTTCTCCTACACCCAGTCGAACGAAGGATTCCTGGATAAAGTGGTTGGTAAACATAGCCAGGTCAATACAAGTCTCTTGAAGTTTTTTCCAGTGCCCCCAACTTCTCCCTGCGCGTTACTTGCTTACATTTAGCAACGAGAACCAAAGAGTCCCATCCATGTTTGCAGCAAACACAGGAAGCGAAGAACTGCAAAAGCGCCCCATATTCGCTTCCGGTGACGTTTTTTGAAATGACGAGCCTTCAGCTTCCTTTTGCACAGAGCTGCTATGCCTTTGCGAAATGCCAAGAGAAACCTCTTGAACAAGACATTGAGTAGTCATAAGGATGGGAACTATCCACACGAGTGGAAAGGGACCATTTTCCTTTTGGGACTCTGGAGATGCCTTGTGCCGACGTGTTTGCCGGGGATACGTCACGCAAATAAACGGGAAGCTTCGAAAAGGAGTCAATGCAACGCCCTCCAACAGAGCTTCCGATCCGAAAAATGATGCGTTTGCTGTGTCGCTTTCTTCTGTCTTTTGTTTTTTTTGCCGCGGGGAGTGAAGGGGAGTATTTGCCTGATGAGACACATGGTTCCTCCTTCTTGAAGGGTAGTTTGAATAAACACTTTCAGAAATAGATGGGTTCCATATCCACTTGCCCAAAAAGTAAAACATTTTTTGTTCAAACAGCTAGCAGCAGGGGGATTGTTTTTCCAATTAGCTTCAAATTAGCTAAGTGGACAGTAGTTGAAGGCTAAGGCTCCTTTTTGTGGATTCAGGTTCCAACCCTTTGCATGTATATGCTCCGCCCGCTACAGACTTCAAGATCACTGACAGCAGTGTGAAAAGGTAGTCAACGGTTTGCTGCTTGCCTAGGTATTCCCTTAGGTGGCCTAGGCTTGATAACACAGGTTATCAGCCGTAAAGGCTTGTACAAAGATCGCCATGGCATCCGGAGATATGCCTGCCATCTACAATATATCTGGAGATGTTGGTGACGGTGGTGGAGGTGCAGTTGCATCCAATGGTCAACGTTGACCCTCGCGATCCTCGAAACATGTTTGGATTCGCGACAAACTACCAAGCCACCCAGAACGTTATGCATGCGCACAACGACACGGGTGACGCTGTTAGGGAAGAGGCCAACACGTTACATCGCGTTGCTATGGATGCTGCAAGAGCGGAATATAGCGCTCATTTGGCAGAAACCGCGCATCGCCTGGATGAGGAGAACAGCCGCCGGACTCTTGAGCTGCATGAACTCCCGTGCTTTCTTCAGCGCCCTGGTTAGTCAGATGCGGGGAGCAATTTCTGCCGAAGTGAATGAAGCTGTGTCGCAAAGAACGGCACAGTATAGCGCTTTCGCACAAAGCTTACATGCTGAGACTGTTGTGGCGGAGAACTCAGAGAAGGCGGTCGGTGAGCAGAGAGACAATATTTTGGCGGAGAATCACGCCATGCAGGACACGATCAACGGGCTGAACGACACCGTTGAGCGTCTGAGGTGATCTCGCAAGGGCGCAGCGTGAAATGGTGCGCAGAGATCCCCAACCTGCAACAAGTTTTCAGAACATCAGTTCAGAGTCGTTTTCGGACAAAAGGGGCAGTATCTTTGATAATCCGCGTCTTTTCCCAACGCAGAATGCACAAACTTCTGGACCTATGCCTCAGATTATTCTACAGCAGAGTTGGACAGATCCTATTTCTGGTGCAATGCAGTTTGATATCAATGAGAATGCGAGGCGGTCTTCGGAGCAAGAACGCAGCCGAAATCAGCAAAACCAGCCGACAAATCAGCCGAACGTTGAACGGTTGATTGGTCCCGAGACCACTGAGGCGGAGTTCCGTGCGGCCCTCCTCGGCTTTGTCCGGAACCAGCATGATCGGCCCAAAGCTAAAGAAGCTGAGTCGTTGAGGCTGAGTGAGTTTCCAACTCCTGAGACCTATAGAGCCTGGAAAACGGCTACTCGCGAAGAGATCCGGGCTGCATCTGATCGGCCTGACGCTGCATTTACCTGGGTGAACAAGGTGTACGTCAACAGGAAGGACAAGAAGAATCTCATGTTAGACCTTGGAGGTCCAGCGCAGTTTGAAACGTTGGACACAAAGCTTCTTGCAGCCTTGTCGCGGATCGCTAGGGGCGACCTTAGTCGGCAGATCCTTACGTACAAGGAGCAACAAGCTGCTTTGGACAAAGTTGTCCGTGGACGTCAAGTTCTTCTCATGTTTGAACAATATTTCAGAACGAATGAGGATTCCGGAGCGTTGTATTCCACTGAAGATTTGTTGAAGGTGGTGCTTCATGGCAATGGTTTGATGACCTTCATTCAAAATTCGGATTCCGTCATTGCTGGCATGAAGATCGTTCCGGAGCAGCACGTCTTAAAGGACATCTTCTTCCGACAGATTCGTGGATGTCACAAGATCAAGTATGACCTTGATACATACGAGCGTGCCAAAGATGGGTCGTATGACAAGAGCTACGAGTTTCTTGTTCAAGCCGTTCGTGGTGTTGTGACTCGGGAACGATTGCAGTCAAATCGTGATCGTGTTGCTCGAGCTCACAATCAGAAGGTTAGTGCTCCGGCTCCAAATGCAGATCCTGGGCGTGCAAGAAATCCTTCAGCAGTCAAGTATTGCTTCGATTTTCAGAAAGGCAAGTGCACTTGGGACAATTGCATTTACAAGCATGAGAAAGACCCAAGACCCCCGAGCCAGAATCCGAAAGGAAAAGGTCGGGGGCGCTCTGACAGCCAGGGAAGAGACAGGGATCGGTCGGCATCGAGAAAGAGAGCGGAGCTGAAGAAGATCCCGTGCAGGTTTTTCAAAGATGGTCAGGGAAAGTGTACTCGAAGACTCGGTCTGCTGCACCAGCAACGGATAAGCCGAGCCCAAAGAAAGGAGCCAGCAGAGGTAGGTCTCCCACCCCAAAGGGAAAAGGGAGAAAGCGATCCCAGAGCAAAAAGGGCGAGTCCTCAGCCGCTGTATGTCTTTCTGGGAGGTTGACTCGCTGAACGAGATGGTTATTCGACACCATGTGATGCCCCGAAAAGCGCTTTATGATCCGAAGAATGCAAAAGACCTTCCTGTTTCGCTGGAATGTTTGTTGGATCAGCGCATCACCAAGGCCAAGCAAGTTTTTGGTGATTTCTGGGCGGATCCTGATGAAGGTTTGGAGCAATACTGGACAGGGCAAACAGTTTTCATTTGCAGTACAGATGTTTCCAATACCAGCAGATGCGTCAAATTCGCGGATGACGTCGAGATCGTCGAGATCGAGGCCACGGGCTGTGCCTATCATGTGCTCCAAAGCCAAACGACCCTGAGGTGGTGTGGTATGATGGTTATGCGCCTGGCTCAAACCCCAAAGATCTTATTGATGCTATTGACACAGCTTAAGCTAGGATAACCTGCTGGACTTCTGCCCATTGGTGTTGCGAGATCCCATGTTTCTGGACAAGTTTTTTCTAAGACCCCAATGTTGATGATCTCCAAGCTTGGATAAGCCTTGGATAAGTCCTGGAAAAGCTGAATCTAAGCTCGGATAAGCCCAGTCGAGGCAAATATACTCTTCAAATCTTCTTTGGGCTGAGTATGTAGTGCTGTTGAAATTATTTATCTTGTTGGTGTGCCATTGGTGAACCTGTGGGCAATTGAAGCATATTCTCTGCCCCTTTGATTTCCAGATGTTTCTAGAGGTGTGGCTCGAGCGTTTGTGCATGGCTAGAGCGAGACTTCCATGTGTTTGGGGGTCATGTGGGTTGAAGCAGGAGGTGTGCTGTGTGGACAAAGAGAGTCAGCGGTGAGCCATGGTGCACCAGCGCTGGTAGTTGCAGACTTGATGCGCGTCAAAGAGCTGAGCAATGACTAGCACGTTTCCAATCCTGGTCATTTCTTTGGATCCTGAGCGACGAGCTGAGATGCAGCTGTTTCTTGAGTCCACTGGAGTCACAGAGAACGTGCACTGGGTCAAAGCAGTGGATGGCAACTTCCTGCTACGGCACTGCGCAGGCCGCGCACGGCACATGCGGTCAGGAGTTGTTAGACTGTCCTGGGCGTGCCCTGGACCTCTGTGTGGGGCATGGCAGGCTGCACTATGAGTCACGAAGTGGCTGTGCAAGAAGGACTGCAGCTGGCTGAAGCACAAGGTGCTTCTTTTTTTTGCATCATGGAAGACGACTGCCGGTCAAATTGCCCCAGTCTAGTATGGAGACTGGTGCGTGAGTCGCTGGCCGCAGTGCCTTCTTTGTCTTTGCTGCAGCTTGGCAGTCTCACAGCCGGGACAGCGCCAATGTCAAAGAGAAGATGTGTCAAAAGGCTGCCTGGGGGGCGCAAACTCTGCGTGGCGGAAAGGCAAGCTCTGGCTCACTGCTACTTGTGTTGCACTGACACGGTGCCAGAGACTGGGCAGCACCGGACTTCTGCTTTGTGTTGCTTTTGTTGTAGAACATCTTGGATGCGCTTTTGTTGTCGCTGTTGCCTTAGTCATTTGCGGATGTGGTTATAGT